CACACATGCCGCTCTCTCCGCGCCTCCGCCCATGCCAGTCGACACGAAGACTTTCCGCGCAAAATCGGCAGCACGGCCGGCCCGCTCACTGTCAACGGCCGGGGGGCTGCGGAACGGGGGTGTGGGGTGCGCCGAACGTGCCTCGGGCTCTCGGAGGGCCCCGGCTCGGGCCGGGGGCGGCGACGGGCTCCGGCCTCGGGGGGGCCACGGGAGAAGGATGATGATGGGGAGGGGGAGGAGGGGGTCTCAACCTCAGGGGGAGGATGAGGCAGTGGGGGGGGGGCCTCCCCCCCAGGTCGCAGACCTGCGCGTCGCGTCGAACTGCAACTGAATGAGTGAGAGGGGGGGGCAGGGACCAACGTCGCACTCGATCGATCTCACTATCGATCTCACTATCGATATCACAACCGATCTCACCATCGATCTCACATTCGGTCTCCCTTTCGATCTAACCAACGACCGACGACGACGACGACGACGACGACGACGAGGGCGCGAAAACAGCGCCGGTGCTCCAGGCAATTTTCACTCGGCAGCCCGGTCCAGCAACGACCGAGGATCGACGACCGAGGATCGACGAACATGGCCCCCAAGACCCTCGGAGGATGAGGAAGCTAAGATGAGGAGGAGGAGGGAAAAGGTGAGGTCCAGAACCGAAGGGTGCGTGGTGGAGGAGAACCTGAGAAAAGACCTCATTCGCTGTCTCATTCGGTCTCACTACCGATCTCACAATCGATATCACTATCCACGTTGTCATCATCATCACCGACATCACCATCAACATCATCATCCTCATCAGCATCATCATCATCGTATTCATCATGATCATCAGCGTCAACATCATCATCATCAATGTCGTCATCATAATCGCAATCATCTACACCATGAAGGCCATCGTCACCATCAGCATCGCACAATCGATCTCGCATTCGGTCTCACTACCGATATCACAATCGATCTCGCAATCGACGTCATCGTCATCATCATCAACATCATCATCATCGCCATCATCAACATCATCATGATTATCACCATCATCATCATCACCATCATCATCAGAATCATCATAATCATCATAATCATCAACATCATGATCGGGACACTGACGGGGCACGGACGGGACACCGGCGGAACACTGGCGGGACACCGCGCCGCCCCGGCCGCCGGGAAGGGAATCATTTCGTCTGGCCGCGCCTCAGCCACACGGGACACCAGCGGGACACCGGCGGGACACCGCGGGCCACCGGCCGCCCGGAAGGGAGTCATTTGGTCCGGCCGCGCATCAGCCACAGGAGACTTTCTCTCGCCCGCCCACGCAGCTTCGCCTCGCCCGCACGGCACGCACGAACACGAAACCGAAATCGATTTCCCGGTAGGGGGGCTTTCCGTTCCACTTCGATCTCACCCCCAACCTCCGATTTTGGAAGGACTTGGACTTCTTGGAGGCTTCCTTGGAGGTCTCGGAGCCCTCTTGGAGCCGTCTTGGGACGGTCTTGGATCCGGAATGGACCGATTCACGATTTAGTTTGGAACGATTCAGGACCCAGCAAGGGGCCGATTCAGAATACAGAATGGACCGATTCACGATCTAGCCTGGATCGGTTCGCAGTCCAGCAGTGGGCCGCTCCAGGATCCAGTGCGGACCTGTTCACAATTAGCATGGGACCATTTGGAGGTCCAAAGTGAACCGACATGCGGTCTCACTGCGCAGAACTGTAATGCACAAGCGCACACCAAGAAAAACAACAACGACACAAATCCACAGAATCAGCGGTGGGAGCGCGCGCGCGCCAGGAAAACCGACGGAACACAAAAACATGAATGTCCGGCGCCAATTCCGAGTGCATTTTGTTTTCCGTCCGCACGTTCAACGGGGAGGGAAGGGGCGGCCCCCTCCCCCGGACAAAACTAGAAAGTCGTCATTCTCGCCACTGCGCCCGCTTCCGTTTCCCCCCCCCGCCTGCGCAGCCACCCGCGGGCGGACCGTTACTAGCATCGCCGCTTTTGCCGCGGCTCTCGCCCGCGCGGCGAGCGAAAAAGGTTGCTTTTGCCATGGGAAAAACGGTTCCATGTCTCCGACTGGACAAGCAAGATTGGGGAGATGTGCGAATTCAAATAACAGTCTGCCGCGCCCTGCTTCCAAACGCCCCATGGCTGGTGCACTTTCCGCCCCTAGAGCGCAGAATCAATAAAACAACAGAACATGTATAATCTCATGTACTCAAGCGAACCATTGCGGCAACCGTTTCCGCGCCCGTTTTCTTTGCCGCCCAAGCGATCTTTGGTGGCTGGGAAGAACGGATAATTCAAAAAAACAGTAACTATAGTCTCCTTTGGCGAACGTTTCCGCGTCCGTTTTTGCTCCCGCCCCCGCAATCTAGGGTGGTTGGGAATTTTCTGGTTGTCCATTCTATACAAAGAAGCGCAAAGCAAACAACCATATTATCTTGCTTCCATACGCATTCGTTTTCACTTTGGACCGCCTAGTCTGCGGTGGTTGGGGGAAAATCATCTCCTGCGCCCAAACGCAGCATTACAGCAAACGTCTCCGCGCCCGTTTTCGCTTCCGTCCGTGAAGTCTACGGTAGCCCGGGGAGGGGCAGACCAACGCAATGTGAGTCTGCTCTTTCCAAGCGCACCATTGCGGCTGCCGTTCCTACGCTCGTTTTCGCTTCCGCCCGCGCAGCCTACGGTGGCCAGAGGGAACATAACATTCATTACGAGGCCTTACTTTGCCTGCTTCTTCCAGGCGGAGGAGGAGGAGGAGGAGGAGGAGGAGGAGGAGGAGGAGGAGGAGGAGGACGTGGAGGTGGAGGTGGAGGTGGAGGACGACTGAGGACGGGAGAAAATCGCATTGTAATATCAGCACTTCCTTGGCGTGGCGTTTAGCTGTCCGCAGCAGATTCTCACGTACATGTTCCTCTCTTTGTCCTGTGCACGCAGGCAATGTTGTGTACACCAGCGTCGCATTGCACGCGGTTGCTGTGGTGTAGACAGGCGCCGTGGTGTGCACAGGCGTTGCGGTGAACGCAGGCATTGTGGTGTACGCAGGCGCTGTGTTGCACATGGTTGCTGCGGTGTGCACATTCGCTGTGGTGTGCACCAGCGCTGTGGTGCACGCAAGCACTGTGGTGTACACAGGCGCTGCGTTGCACATGGTTGCTGCGATGTGCACATTCGCTGTGGTGTGCACGCACGCTGTGGTGCACGCGAGCATTGTGGTGTACACAGGCGCTGCGTTGCACACGGTTGTTGCGGCGTGCGCAGGCGCTGTGGTGTACACGCGCGCTGTGATGCACGCGAGCATTGTGGTGTACACAGGCGATGTGGGGCAGATCGCCGCCTAGATGCTGCTCGCGTCGTCGTCGTCGCCGTCGCCGTCGTCGTCGTCGTCGTCGTCGTCGTCGTCGTCGTCGTCGTCGTCGTTGCTCGTCGCTCGTCGCTCGTCGCTCGTCGCTCGTCGTCGTCGTGCGCGCGGGCGCCGCTGTGGTGCCGGAGCCACACGGCGGAGGGGGGCGTTGCGTCGTACCCCCCCCCGCTGGACAAAAAACAACATGTTTGGCTTGCCGACGCACCATTGCGGCTACTTTTTCCGTACCAATTTTCGGTTCCTCGCCCGCGCGGTTTACGGTGGTTGGTGGGAACGGAATTTGTGATCAAGGCGATAATCCTTTATTTCAAAAGGCAAGATTGTGGCTACCGTTCCCGCGCCCGCTGTCGCCCGCGCACCCGCGCCCGTTGTCGCCCGCGCAATCCACGGCGGCTGGGCGGAACGGAATATTCATAAAACAGAGGTCGCTTCTCTTGCCTCCAAAGGCATCACTGCTGCTACCACTCTCGTCCGTTATCCGCGCCCATTTCCGGCCTCCCCCAGGGCTCCTGCGGCTCCTCCTGGTGTTCCTCGGGTTCCTCGTGGGGCGCCTCCTGGGGCTCCTCTCCGGGCGCTTCCCAGTGGTGTTGCCCCCATCCCAGGACTTTTCCCACGGCCCCCTTCCCAGGACACATTCTATGAGCTCTCTCAAAGCGCCTTCCAAGACCCCGCCGAGGGCGCCTGTCTGAATCCCTCCCTGGGCGCTTTTCCGCTGCAGGCCAAGTGGGCCAGATCCCGATCTGGTCCATTTTGACGAACAGGAGTCGTGCGGACCAGAGCGACCTCTAATCTAAACGGAATCGTGAACCAGTCCAGACGAGCTTATCTCGAGCGGAAACGAACCGAGATCATACAGTTGTTTTCGCCTAGTAATCCTCGTCGTGCGGTTTTCGGTCGTAATTCGGTTCTCCCGTGTCCGCTCGGGACGATCCGTGCACCCCTGGAACGCTCTCGGCGAGGCGCAGCTGCTAGAGGGCATTCCGAGGCGAGAAAACCTGTAAGAGCCGACGAAAACGTCCGAATACCCACGAGGGGAGGAGGGCGAGGAGCAGGACGAGGCGGAGGAGAAGGAGGAACGCTCTCGTCGAGGCGCAGCTGCTGGAAGGCATCCCGAGGCGAGAAAACCTCACAAGAGACGACGAAGACGTCCGAGTGCACACAAGGTGAAGAGGAGGAGGAGGAGGAGGAGGAGGAGGAGGAGGAGGAGGAGGAGGAGGAGAAGGAGGAGGAGGAGGAGGAGGAGCAGGAGTATAAGGAACGTCCTCGGCTAGGCGCAGCTGCTGGAGAGTTTCCCGAGGCTGGAATGCGCCGAGAACCGACGAAAACGTCCGAAAACCTTAGGCCTCGAACCCGAAATCGTGAACGGTGGGCGCTGTCGGCCCTGCCGCGTGGTGGGTGCACGTATGACTCCGCGAGCCTCCACGGGCTCAGGTGCCCTAGGTGCCCTCGGTGTCCTATCCCCTGTCGCCTTGTCGTTCGTTCCCCCCTCTGTGCTCGTGTCATCGTCGTCGTCGTCGTCGTCGTCGTCGTCGTCGTCGTCGTCGTCCTCCGAGTCTTGTATGCCCGTGCGGGGCTTTCCCCGTCCCGCTGCGCAGCACGGAGCGGACTGCCCTCCCCGGGAGCCAGCCAGGCCGGCGGCGTGCTGGGCCAGAGCCGCGAGGCGCGTGGCGTCGCGCAAGGAGGACTGCACTGGTCTTGCCGTCGCCTCTCTTTTTCCCGCCAAGGCTGGCGCTGCTGCCGCCTGGTGCTGCTGCTCGCGCATCACCGCTCCTCGCAGCTCATGGGGCAACGTTGGGGGGGGGGGGACTGGCTCCGGAGGCAACGTTTGAGGTTCGATTTTTTTGGGGGGCTTTTTCGTCGGTCCTCGGCGGTTTTTTCCACCCTCGGGATGCTGACCGTCCAGCAGCGGACCCTCGCCGAGAGCAGGGTGCCCGGATCGTCCCGAACGGCCACCGGAGACCCAGGTTATAACCCGAAAGCTGGACGAAGAGAATCAATGGGGGAGATAGGCTCAGGGGCGGATGCATCGACCTCCAATCGCCCACTCATCGCCGATGGGGGCCCGATTACCCACCCCGCCCAGGAACGTGGGGTTTCGCTCGGGGACCAATCGCCAATCCATCGGCGATGTATCGCCGATTCCAGGTCGAGGTCCCCCCCCCCGCCCTAACATTTTCCCTCACCCCCCCTTCCTCCTCCTCCCTCCCCCTTCCTCCTTCCTCCTCCTCCTCCTCCTCCTGCCTCGTCCTGCTCCTCCTTCTCCTCTTCCTCCTCCCTCCTCCTCCCGCTGCTCCTCCTCCTCCTCCTCCTCCTTCTCCTCTTTCTCCTCCTCCTCCTCCTCCTCCTCCTTCTCCTCCTCCTCCTCCTCCACGTCGCCAAATTCAAGGCCCCGGAGACGTCCCGTTCGGTGCGGTTCCGTCAGGTCGGTCGCGGGCATGGCGCCCCCACCAGCTCCCCGGGGGGGCGGCCCTGAACGAACGTCCAGCGAATCCACCACATCTGATGCGGCCTTTGGCTCAAGCAGTTTTGGCTCAAGGCCAAAATGGTGTCCATTTCACCGCATGAGTGGGGTAGGCTCCCATTGCTTTCGGTGATCCTCGTTCTAGCAGCCACATCCAGGGGCGAGCTGCCGCTATTCCTCGTTTGCAGCCGCATCCAGGGGCGAGCTGCCGCCCATTTCCTCGTTCGCAGCCGCATGCACGGGCGAGCTGCCGTCCAAGCTTGCAAGACACCTCCTAGGTCGAGGGCGCATCCCTTCGGTCGGCGCAGTGGTTGGTGGTCGTGGCGCTGGAGGCGATGGCGATGCAGCAGCAGCAGGAGCAGCGAACCCACAATTTCGACGTGGATGGTCACGTGGCAACAAGCAAGAGTTGTATCAGTACACGATGTGCAGGCAACGTGGGTACCGATGGACCTGGAAGGGCAAGTCAGACTGCTTCATGTGCGGCAGGTTCTTCGCACCGTCGCCAGTTGAGCACCGTCAGCCAGTGGGTGCGTGGGCTGGTGGCACCAAGCTGCCCTGGCACGCCTCCCAGCCAGCCGTTGGGTCAGGCGTTCTAAGCAGTCCAAGCAAGGACGCCATCCTCGACGTATTCAAGACCTTCTTCGAAGACGAGAAGCACAGCGACGTCGTCGGAGAGTTTCAGGAGGCCCTCCAAGACCCAGTCAAACCGCAGCCAGCACGCGCAGCGGAACGGGGCCTTCAGTCGGCGTTCTCGGTCTCGCGGACAGGGAGGAAAGATCCCAGCAGACCGTTGACGAGGTTGCTGAGGCGCAGCAGTGGCTCAACGACGCCAGCGCACGTCAAGAGCAAGCTGCCCTCGACCTCGTCCAGGCGCAGAACGCCTGCGCCAAGGCACAGGAAGACCACATGGCCAAACTTGACGGAGCCGCTGCGCGAGGAGCTGCAGCACCAGGATCGCCAGGCATTTTCGCAGTCGACAGCGCAATCTGGGAGAACCTCATCCTCTATGACGACATACGACGACACTACTAGGGCCCAGATGGAGGAGTGGAAGCGGGAGATCGACCAACGCGTCAAGGCGCCCAACGACGGCCAGGAGCGCGTCCGCGAGATCCTGCGCAAGGCCCGCGAATAAACCCGCAGTGCCAACTGGGCCCGCCGCCGAGGCCCCGCCCAGCAAGCCGCGGACGAAAACTCCCGAGCTGATCGAAAGGCCGCCGCCGCCCTCATCGAGACTGCATCCAGAGCCAACAAGATGGCACGCGCCGCCGAGGGAGGCGGCGAGGACAAACCCAATCAGCAGTCATCTACAGCCGCAACGGGGTCGCCTCGGCCTGGGTAACCCCAATGCGAGGGGCGCTAAGGCCCGGACCCCCTCTGGCAACATCGCCGAATGGGGGCCGCGGGCCGCCAACTGTTGCCGCGCTGTCGGCTGCAGTTGCCGCCCCATCGCGCTCGCGGAGACCCGCGCGGGCGTGAAGGGCGTCGAGGATTATGTCGGGAGCTCGCCGTGGGCGGCTGGAAGCTCGCATCCGCGCCGGCCATGGCGACTCGCAAGTCGGACAGGGGGGTGCGCGGTGGCGAGTGGGCCCCCCCGCGCGGTGGCATCGCAGCCGCCGCCTTCGAGGCCCGCGGGGATGATCGAACGCCGCAAGTGGCGGCCGACCGCGAGGAGCGGCGACGCTGCGGTTGTCGCGGCGCATCTACGGCGTGGGCTACGCGGCCAGGGCGCGAAAAGGGACGTCCTCATCTCCATCTCCACCTTTGTGGACATGCTTGGCGGCCCCTGGGTAATTTCGGCCGACTGGAGCCGCGACTCGCCGTGGTGGGGCGACGGGGCGTGGCTCGCCAGGTGGGGCGGCGCCGTCCTCGCCGACCCGGAGTGCAAGGCCACCAGCGACGTGGGCTTGGGCTCCGTCTACGACTGCCCGATCGCGCGACCGGGCCTCGCCGTGCGTATCGACGCGGAGGCGTTCGCGACGCCCCGTCGAAGACGCACTGCGGCATCCAGGTCGTCGTGGGCGCCGCCGAGCCATGGGAATGCGCTGCAGTGCAGGTTCCCAAAGCCCCCTCATTCCAGGGGCAGACCAAAACTAGTCGCCAGACGCGACAGCAACAAGTCGAAGGCTCGGGCAGAGGCCCTGCGAAACAGGGGGGAGGTTACCTGGGTACCTGCGCGACGAGTTCGACGCCCTCCGCAACTGCGACAAGGGCGCCGTGCATCCGGATCCCGCGCCCTTCATCATCAAGGGCGACACCTGGGGCCAGGCCGAGGATGTAGCGGCCGACTGCCCGAGGTCCCAGGGCCGCCTCTCGGGCGTCGCGAAGGCGGGGGGCGCGTCTTCCGCTGGCGCCTGCCGAGCAGGACCGCGAAGAGGATCGGCGCCCACGCCATGTGGGTCGCGACCCTCGGGATCGCGTTGATGAAGGGCCACGGCGTTCCTGATGATGAAGGGCCAGGTGCCAGGGAAGGACCGATGGGTGCAGGACGGTGATGCATATTATGAGGATCTTATCTGGGCGTGCTTACCTGAAGGGCCCGCCAGTGGCGGCCTGGTGGCAGCGCTTCAGCACCGTCGCCATGGCCTACGCCGCCCTCGTCAGAAAGCAGAAGGACCTGGGGGCCCAGGGGGGGGCCCGCTGTCTCGCGTGCCAGAAGATCGACCAGCTCGAAGACCCAGACTTCCAGGAAAACCACTTCGGCTCCAAGACCGACCCGCAGGAGATAGACGAGTGGGATCTCCAGATCGCCTCCATCGACTTCTTCGAGGGCGACGACCTCCACCACCCCTGCGCGACGGCCCAGAGATGGGCCATTGGAGCGATGGCGAGAGCTGCAGGCAGAGCGCGCAGGCGCTACCTCAAGCTGCGCCGCTCCGTCGTCGACCCCAGCATGCAGCGACTGCGGGCCGTGCAGGGCCGCGGCGAGCGCTGCGACCCCTGCCTCGTCATGAACGCCGCGACTGGTCCTGGGCCCCGACTCCGTTATCCAGGTCGTGCTCTTGGGTGCTGGCTGGAGCTGCCCGCTCCCGCCCGAAGGGTCGCGCGCGCCTCGTGAAGGCGAGCCCGGGGACGAAACGTGCTACTACTTCGCAGGAGCCAAGCCGACTGGGAGGTCGAGCGCTACGAGGTCGACCCCCAGCGGAGTTCGCCCGCGAGTTCTGCCAGTCATTGAGAGGGGGCTGCAGTGGGCGGCAGCCAAGCATCTGCGCGGAGAAGGGCCTTAGCGAGGTGGCCCCGACGCGCACGTCATCAGCCGCGGATGGAGAGGTTCGCGAAGAAGGGCCACTTCGACCAGTGGGCGCCCGACCTCTGCGTTGTGCCAGGGGCCCATTGGCCGCGGGCGCGCCTGGTCGAGGTGGGCCACCAGGCGCAGGCGCCATGCCCGCGCTGTGGAGAACCGGAGGAGACCCCGATGCGCAGAATCTGGCTGTGCCTTGCAGCCGCGACCACGTGGATTGCGCGAATTGCAACCCCCTCCTGCTGGCCGCCCTTGCCGGGGCGGAAGCGTCGCCTGCGCCCCGGCCCCGCGCCTGCGCGCGCTGACACGCGCCTTTTCTCTTTTTTTTTTCTGGGGGGGGGCGGCGCGCGGGGCTGGGTTGGGCAGGGCTGTGGGGGTCGCGTCGGCGGCGACGGGGCCCTCGCTCTGCTCGGCGACGAGTCGGGCGGGCAATTCAGCGCCGGCCCGCGTCGCCGCGGGGCGGGTGTCGCCTGCGTCGTAATGGAGAGCCTCTTCGGGGAGTTATCCCCGTGGGAGGTATCGTCTCGGGCCTGGAGTGCAGCTTCTAAATTGTCGTTCGCGCTAAGCTGCTAGCTTCTGCTTTGGCCCTCGAGAATTGGCCATGCGACGCGTGTTTTATCTCAGATTACGTGTCGCTGTATGACGCGTGGAGGTCTGGCCGACGCTTGCGCCCCAGCGAATGCGCGAATCTAGACCAGAGGCAGCAGCAGGATCGAGGTGATTTGGGTGGCCTCAAACAGCGAGTCGCCCTTGGCATCGTTGCCGACCCTGTCAGATTTTTCTGCGCCCTCGGCAATTCGCGCGCCGGCGCGCGGGCTGGCGCGGCCGCCCGCAGAGCTTGGGAAGCTGCGCTCAACGGAGAGGCGCCTCCCACGGACCTGCGCGATACTCAGCGTGCCCTCGTCCGCAGAAAGGCGCGACGGTCGCTCGCTGATGCGCTTGCCGCCGACCAGCGGGTGGCGGGGAGGCTGTCGCAGGCGCGCGGCCCGCGCTTAGCTGGGCTGCGTAGCGCCCTCCAGTCTAGCGCGCGCACGTTCGAGCTCCGCGCGAGCAAGTGCAGGTGCTCGCGGTGCGAGCTTGACGTCGGACAAGCGTGCGGTGCGACAGGCATGCGGCACGCCCTGCCAGAGTAAAACCTCCCGAGCCGAGCACGTGGAGCCGCTACTGGGCACCGTCGTTCTCGGCTGGCGCGTGCTGCGCGAGTGTCACAAGCTTCATTTCATGCAGAAGTACTGTCAGTACTTGTTTCGTCTCTGCGGCAAGACGGCGACGGAGGGCCTCCGCCACCTCGCCGCGCAGTGCTCGGGCCTTACGCGCAGAGGCCGTCAGAACCTGGCTGAGATCGACCGTGGCCAACCCCCCCGCGGCCACGCGGGACGCGATGGCCCCACTCCATATGTAAGGGCGGCGGCCGTGAATTAACTTGTAGCCGCCGCAGCGCCCGCTGCTGATGTGAGCGCTCCGTGATAAGCTGGTGCAACCTTTTGTTTTTATGTTGCAAAGCTCGCGCCCAGGTGCGCTTGGTTTCTCCATTCTCCATGATCCTCCTTCCTCTTCCTTCCTCCCCCTCCCCTTCCTCCTTCCTCCTCCTCCTCCTCCTCCTCCTCTCCGTCCTTCTCGTCCTTCTCCTCCCTACTCCTCCCTGCTCTTTCTCTTCGTCTCGCGTGCTCACGGTCCCCGGTGCTCGCAGCTACTCTTTTGGTCCCGTCATTCCAGTGGTCGTGAGCGTCAACCCAATGGAATTGCGATCAGATTTGTTCGAAATTGAGATTTTGGTTTTGCCTCGCAGGTAGCAGATACTATGGTCGTGCCGTCCATTCGGTTCAGAATGTACCTGTGTGACGTGAGACATCGCCTTCCTTGGCGCTGGTGGGGCAGAAACAATTAGTCAGCCCGCCCCTCCCTTCCCTCCTTTCCACCTGTCTCCTCTTTCCATTCCCCCGCAGTCATCTCGCCAGCCTTCTCTTCCGACCCCACACTCCCCCAGTCCCTCATGCATCCCCTCCCGCGATCCTTCCCCCCCTCCCACCCCCTCCTTCCTCAATCCTTCATTAACCTTCCTCTCATTCCCCGATCCCTCCCCTGACCCCTCCCCCCTGCTCTTTGCCGTCTCCTCGCCAGCTCCCGCGGCGACGCGCGGCGGGCGATCGGGACCACAGGAGCAGAAGGCGTCGATGATCACAGTAATCGTTCTTGGCTTGCTGTTCACCGTGGCGTATTTCAATAGCAAGAAGGACCCGATTCCAGCTGGCCTTCGAAACAAGGGAGGGAGGACTAGGATTGGGAGGAGGCAGATGAGAAGGAGGGCGGGTAGGAACAGGAGGAGGGAGCGGACGTTGAGTCCGTAGCCATTTTGCCTCAAACTATTTTCTTTGCACGGGCGAGGGTATCTTTTCGGCACTGGCGATGATGCCCCGTCGGCACTCCCACACATCGCGCGTGTCTGCGAGCCAGAGGGTGGCGACGGCGGCGGCGCTGGCCGCCAATAGCGCTGTCCAGAGACTATAGAATTCTCAGGGCAGCACCGTCCAACCGATCCCCATGCCTCTTTGTCCATGGTGTCCCAGCCAGCCACACCAGCTCCCCGAAGGTGGGGGTTGCCCCGCGAAGCTCGAAGGGAACGGCATGTATCCCCACCTGGGGGGGGCGAGTTTGCCAGTGGTGCCAAGGCCAGTGGGGATGGGGATCGGTTAAGCGATGCTCATCTGGTCAAGTTCGATGCTCTTGCAGAGGCACGCGGCTTCGCAGGCACCGAACCCTAGAATCTCATGAGCAAGCTCCTTGCTTCAGATCGTGCCATCAAGGCCCTCCTAGCTGGCGAGGTCCGTGACCACATCGACGTGCTGTGGAGGCATACCGCCCTGCACGCGGCGGCCGACATGACGCACCCGAAGCCTCGGCGGGTAGCAAGAAGCTTCGGCGGGTAGCAACAAGGTCCGTGATTGGGACCTTCACCAGACCATGGCGAGCACGAGGGCGCCAAGAGAAATTTGGTCCACTGCAGGCTCCACGACCTGAGTACCAGGGCAAGCACGACAAGCTGATCATATATATATATATATATATATATATAGTGATCGAGATCGTCGCCCCGACCTGTCATCACGGCTACGATCTCCATGGGAGTCTAAATGTGGATCGCTGGCTACGACGCGGCCTACGGTCACATCAACGATTATCGGGAGCACGGCGGGGATACGAGGATGTTCCCATTTACCTTTCCACCGATGTCGCATAATTTCCCGGTGTGATGCCTCTGTCTGGCCTGACCGGCGAGGTTGGTATGCCGTGCCAAGGGGAAGTGGGCATCGAGGACGGCCTCGAGGGGATAGGGGGGCATTGAGGAGGACCAGGGCGTTGGAGTTCTATGACCCCAAACAGGCGTTCTTCACCCACCATGGGCTGCTGGGAGCCGGTTCTGGCGTCGGGGCCCGAGCATGCTCTCAGCACGGCTGCTGCCAGTTCTCTCTCTTTTTTCCCCGCCTTCCCCCCCGTCTGTCGACGGTTGTCAACCTCGCGGCGTGCGGCCAGTGTGCGCGTCGGCCAGCGTCAGCGGCGCGGGGGTGAGGACTGCTGCGCCAGCGCAGCCTGATGATGCGGAGGATGTGAAGGGCCCGCGTCCGTTCGCCGGGCGTGCCATTTGGCATATGTGGCGGTCTTGTTCCGCAGGACGAGGATTGGGAGGAGGAGAATAATAAGAAAAGGAAAAGCAGGCGGAGGAGAAGGAAGAGGAAAAGGAGGAGGAGGCAGAGGAGGAGGAGGAGGAGGAGGAGGATGAGAAGGAAGTCGAGGAGGAGGGGGAAGTCGAGGAGGAGGAGGAAGACAAATGATACACACACTAATAATAATGATAAAAATAATAAGACTAATGATGTTAATACTAATTCTATGAATACTGATGATACTAATAACAATACGAATAGGAATAATAAGAAAAACATACGAATAAGACAAGTCACACTAACAATGTTACTTTACTGAGATGAATAATCTTACAACAAATAATGTTATGAGCAAGCAGAATAATCTGAATAATACGAAGACGAATAAGGGATACTACTAATAATAGCAGTAATAATAAGAATAACGATATTGATAATTGCCATCCAGAGCCCCCCCCTCTTCCCCCAATTCCCCCTGTCCACAGGCAGGGCGGGGGACCGGACCCCCTCCCACGCCACCGGAACCCGCGCCACCCGACCCCCCCCCTTCTCCTCACCTCGGAAGAGCCACCCCGGCCACCAGACCCCCCCCCCTTCCCCCTCTCCTCCTCTCCTCCTCCTCCTTCTCCTCCTCCTCCTCCTCCTCCTCCTCCTCCTCCTCCTCCTCCTCCTCCTCCTCCTCCTCCTCCTCCCCCTCTTCCCCCACTTCCCCCTGTCCACAGGCGGGACGGGGGACTGGACCCCCCCTTCCCCCACCACGTCACCGGGACCCACGCCACCAGACCCCCCCCCCTCCCCTCCCCTTATCCCAGCGGAGCCACCCCGGTCACGCCCTCCCCTTAAACTCCCACGCCCGATCGGCGGATTTGAATTTGCGTTGGGTGCGTTTCTTACTGCCGGGCCACATGCCCCAGCTCGCCTGAATATGTCGTTAGGGCACCTGTCCGCGGAGCTACGGCTCGTGTGCGGAGCTGTGCTCGATCGCCCGTCCGCGTTTCTTCGCTTGTGATTTGGGCTCGTGTGCCGCCCCAGTGGCAGTCCGCAGTTCGGGGGTCGTGCTGGAAGAGGGCTCGGACTGACAGGTAGTCCTCTTCTTTGTCGGCCCGTGATGACTTGCACAACCTGCCTGAGAATTTCGTGAGGCGCGGCCCGGTGATGCCCGAGCCCTGGCCCGAGAATTTCGTCAGGCACGGCCCGGCATGGTCAGGCACTTCCCTGTTGCTTTCAGCAGGCACCCGCGCTTGTTAAAACATTCGCAGATGGAGAGAGGATATCGCAGCGCGTTTGTTTTGGCGCTCGCATGCGCCATTCTTTTGGTTTTCCTGCTGTGTCGCCCCCTTGGGCACCCTGCCATCAGGGCTCGCGGGTGTCACCTTCATTTTACTACCCCACAATAGGTGGGAGAGGGCTCCGATCATGGATTGGTTCGCCTCTAGGTGCCCTGTATGTATGTAGGAGGAAACGTGGAGGAGGAAAACGAGGAGGAGGAGGAGGAGGGGGAGGAGGAGGAGGAAGATAAGGAAGTGGAGGAGGAGGAGGAGGAAACGGATGGGCAGACGTCGCGTTTCGCCCCGCTTTGCACCCGCGCCTCGCCCTCTCGGCCGCCAGGAGGACGACAATGAGGACAGGCGCATCAAGTCGGAGGTGCAGAGGCCGCGTGGGTCGGGGGCCGAGTCCAGAGGTGCAGAGACGGCTGGCTGAGGATGTTGCTGCTTTCCTTCCACTCCTTCCCTCCTCCTCCTCCTCCTCCTCCTCCTCCTCCTCCTCCTCCCTACTCCCTCCTCCCTCCGTCCCCTCTCCCCCTCAGCCTCCTCCTGCTGCTGCTGCTCCTCCTCCTCCTCCTCCTTACTCTCCTCCTCCCTCTCCTTCCCTCTCCTGGTCTTTTCCTCTGTCCTCGTTCTTCCAGCTCCTTCTGCTCCTGCTGCTGGTCCCCTCCTCGGCCTCCCTCCTCCTGTTCCTGCTGATTGCTGGTGCGTCGACCCCGCCAGCTCTTAGTCAGCTGGTGACCTACGATGTCGGCCACAGCGGCGGCGTTCGCTGGCCGATCGACGTGTTGCCCCCCCCCCCCCCCCTGGGCAGGGAGCCCCGCGGAGGCCGCGAGAGGCCTTCCCTCTCCGTGTTCGTCGAGCTACAAAAAACAGGGGGGGAGCTCGCTCTCCCGCCCCCCCCCCCGTCCTCCTAAAGTCCACCCCTCGGTCCCCTCCTCCCCATAGGTTTGCCAGTCTGGAAGGGCTGCTGCGCAGTTCCAGATCAACGTTCGGTGCAAGCGTGAAATATGAGAAGGAGGCTGAAGAGGATGAAGGAAGACCCGGGGGCTGGACCAGGGGACGAGGATGATGAGGAGGGAGAGCAGGATCTGGATAATTTACATAGATAATTAGGACACTTCTGATGATGATGGCGGTGATGCTGATGGTATTGATGATGATGATGATGATAATGATGATGATGGTGGTGGTAGTGGTGGTGGTGGCAAGGATGATGGTACATATGGTGATGACGATGTTGATGGTGATGATCATGATGATGATTCTGACGACGATGGTGCTGCTGATGATGCTGTTCATTATGCTGCTGCTCATGATGGTGATGATGACGATGATGATGGTGGTGCGGATGATGATGAGAATGCTGATGATGATGCTGATTATGGTAGTGATGATGATGATGCTTTGGCTGCTGCTGATGATGGTGACGACGATGATGAGGATGATGCTGCTGCTGATGCTGATGCCAGTGCTGAAGATGTTGATGATGAAGATGCTGACGATGAATGGGAGGATGATGATGTTGACGATGGTGGTGATGATGATGCTGCTGGTGATGGTCGTGACAACGATACTGCTGATGATGATGCTGATACTGATGATGACGAAGCCGATAACGATGATAATGAAGATGATAATGATGACGCTGACGATGATGATGATGGTGACGGTGATGACGATGAATTATATTGATGACGATGATGATGATGATGGTGATGGTGATGATTATGCTCATGATGACGATGATGATGATGATTATGATGACGATGACGCTGCTGCTGATGGTGGCTATGATGATGATTGTGATAATGATGATGTGGATGCTGATGCTGTCGTTGATGAAAACGCTGATTGCGACGACGCCGATGATGATGGTGATGACGATGCTTATGACGATGCTGATGGTGCTGATGGTGCTGATTTTGCTGATGTTGATGTTTCTGATGATGTTGAGGGTGATGCTGATGAGGATGATGATGATGATGCTGATGCTGATGATGCTGCTGATGATGATGAAGCTGCTGATGATGATGACGATGACGATGATGATGCTGATGCTGACGATGACGATGCTGCTGCTGCTGGTGATGGTCGTGACTACGACACCGTTGATGCTGATGCTGACACTGATGATGACGAAGCCGATAACGATGATGACGATGATACTGATGGTGATGATGATGGTGATGATGATGGTGACGGTGATGATGACGATGACTTAGATGATGACGATGATGATGATGATGATGATGATGATTGTGATGGTGATGATTATGCTCATGATGACGATGATGATGAGGATGATTATGACGCTGCTGCTGATGGTGACCATGATGATCGTGATGATGATAATGATGGCGATGCTGATGATGATGATGATGATGATGATGATGATGATGATGATGATGTGGATGTTGATACTGTCGGTGATGAACATGCTGATTGCGACGACGCCGATGATGATGGTGATGACGATGCTTATGACGATGCTGATGGTGCTGCTGCTGATTTTGCTGATGGTGATGCTGATGATGATGTTGATGCTGATGCTGACGCTGATGTTGATGCTGATGAGGATGACGATGATGCTGATGATGATGATACTGATGATGATACTGCTGATGATGATGAAGATGCTGGTGATTATCCCGATGACGATGATGGTGATGATGCTGACGATGATGATGATGCTGATGATGATGGTCATGCTGATGGTGATGATGATGACGATGATGATGACGGTGATGCTGATGATGATGCTGATGATTGTGGTGGTGATGATGATGCACGATGATGATGCTGATGATGATGCTGATGCTGACTGTGTTGCTGCTGCTCCTTCTGTTGCATATGTTGCATATGTTGTTGTTGCTGTTGTTGCTGTTGATGCTGTGATTGTTGTTATTGTTATTGATGTTGATGTTTATGTTGATGTTGTTGTTGTTGTTGTTGTTGTTGTTGTTGTTGTGGTTGTTGTTGTTGTTGCTGATGTTGTTGTTGTTGTTGCTGTTGTTGTTGCTGCTGCTGTTGTGGTTGTTGTTGTTGTTGTTGTTGTTGTAGTTGTTGTTGTTGTTGTTGTTGTTGTTGTTGTTGTTGTTGCTGTTGCTGCTGTTTTGTTGTTGAGAACGACGGGTTTCAGACGCCCCCCTCCGGGGGATGAGGGTAAGGGGGGGGGGGCGCATCGCATCGTATCGGGGGGAGGGGGGAGCGCTGCACCTACGAGATTCTTATGGGATCCCTGGCATTCCTGGATTCCTGGGGATCCGTCTGGATTCCTGGAGAATCCTGGGCATTCCAAGCATACCTGTACGACCGCCCTGCGGGCGATAAGGAGGTTGGGGGGGGATTGAGATCAAATGCCCACCCTGACTGACCTCCAGCCTGTCACCTTGATCTCATCTCTCTCTTTCTCTCTGTCTCTCTCTCTCTCTCTCGCCCTCTCTCTCTCTCTCTCCCTCTATCAGAGTCTTCCTCCACCACAGTCTGCCGCGATCGCGCCCAGGCGTCGACAGAAATGAACTGAAGGATTGAGTTGGGTGGATTGAATGGGATGGGATAATATGGATTTGAGAAGGTAAGATGGTTGGATTGGAAGAGATGGATTGGATAAGATAACATGGGTTGGATTGGCCCGCCGCAGGCGCAGAAACAAATGAATTGATGGATCGGGTTGGATGGATTGGATTGGGTGGGATAATATAAGATGGAACAGTATGGGTTGGATAATATAATATGTATTGGATTGGACAAGATGGATTGGATAAGATGAGCTTGATTGGATAAGAAAGCCCGCCGCAGGCGCCGACACAAATGAATTGATGGATTGGGTCGGGTGGACTGGATTGGATGGGATAAGATGGATTGGATAAGGTAAGATAGTTTGATTGGAAGAGATGGATTGGATAAGATAAGATGGATTGTATTGGCCCGCCGCAGGTGCAGAAACAAATGAATTCATGGATTGGGTTGGGTGGATTGGATTGGGTGGGGTAAGATGAGATGGGACAATATGGGTTGGAGAAGATAAGATGGATTGGATTGGACAAGATGGATGGGATAAGATAAGCTGGATTGGATAAGAAAACCCGCCGCAGACGCCGAAAAATATGAATTATGAAATTAGCGACATGCGTTAGCGCCGGGACGCCCGGGACACCTGGGACACCCAGGACACCGCCTGGCCCAATTGGGACACCTCCCAGCCACCGGCGGACGGGAAACGGACCTTCGCTCCTATTACACTCGGGACACCCGGGACACCGCCCGGCCCAATTTGGACACCTCCTGGCCACCGGCGGACGGGAAACGGACTTTCGCTTCTGCTTCGGCCTAGCTACAGGAGGATCACGCGCAGCTTCGCCTCGCCCGCACGCACGACACGAACACGAAACCGAAACCGATTTCCCGGTGTGGGGTCTCCGTTTCATTGCGATCTCACCCCCCAACCTCGGATGTGTGCGGAGTGCTTTGGATTTCAAGGGATTCCTAGGGATCCCTCAGGATTCTTTTAGGAATCCAGAGGATTTCTGAAGGAGTCCTCTGGAAACCTGTGTATTCCTGCGGATTCCATTGGGTTCTTGGTGAATTCCCAACGACTGCGGGTTCCTATGGATTCCTTTTGGGCTCCAGATGAGTCTTTCGGATTCTTCGGGGCTTCAGAGGATCCCGACGGAGCCCGAAGGATCCTCCAGGATTCAGAGGGATTCCAACGTATCCGTGGGGACTCTCCAGTCTTCTCATGAATCGCGCTTTCGTTCGAAACGTCCGTGCGATTTGCCGAGGAGTTGCGCTCTTGCTTTCAATTCCGTTGCCATTTACACGCTGTCGCCTAGACTTGGCGCTGAAGCTTTCCGCATATTTTACCGAGGAGTCGAGCTCTCGCTCGATAGTTTTTCGCAATGTACTCAAGAATTCAGTTGTCTTTCGCTCTCTTCTTCTTCTTCTTCTTCTTCTTCTCTCTCTCTCTCTTTCTCATAATGGTTCCTCGCTTGAGACAATGGTGCCCTTGGTGATGTCAAATCGTGTCGTTGTTGATGATGCTGGGGGTGAAGATGGTGGTGAGCATGCTACTGATGGTGACTATGATGACTATGATGATGATGATGATGCTGCTGATGCTGATGATGATATGACGATGCTCACGATTCTCATGGCGACGATGGTGATGGTGATGCTAATGATGATGAGGATGATGGTGATGCTGATTGTGCTGCTGATGCTGATTCTGATTATGATGCTGATGCTGCTGATGATGCTGATGATGATGAGTGATGCTGATTGTGATGGTAGTGGCGATAGCGGTGAGTCTGTGAATGATGTGAATGATGATGATGATGATGATGATGATGATGATGATGATGATGATGATGATGATGATGATGATGCTGATGACGATGATGACGGTGTGCGTGCTTTTTATGCTGACAACGATTATGGCTGTGCTGGCGAGGTTGGTGATGATGCTGTTGCTGATGTGGATGGCGAGTGTCATGGTGATACTTTGGCTATGATGATGGTGGTGGCGATGGCGATGGCGGCGATGAGGGTGTTGATTCCAGTGGCACGGGTAGGTATGGTGACGTTGATGACGAAGACGATAGTGACGTTGATGGCGATGACGATGGCGATGAGAAGAACCGAGATGATGATGATGTTGTTGTTGGTGTTGTTGCTGATGATGTTGACGATGACGACGGTGATGCGGCTGCTGCTGCTGATGTTGCTGATGGTGATGGCAGGGGTGGTGGTGGCGGCGATGCTGACAACTGTGGTGACTATGCTGGTACTGATGGTGGTGATGATGATGGCGATGATTATGATGATAAGTGGTGTGATGATAACGATGATGATGCTGACAACGGCGACGACGATGCTTATAATGGTCATGGTGATGATAATGACGACGATGACGGGGATGAGGATTGTGATGTTGCTGATGGTGATGAGGATGCTGCTGTCTGCTGATGATGGTGATACTGCTGCTGCTGATCATGATGATGGTGCTGATGTTGATGGTGCTGGTGATGATGGTGATGACGATGATGCTGGTGGTGGTGATGCTGAGGATGGGGCTGCTGCTGCTGCTGATGATGGTGATGATGATGGTGATGAGGATGACGACGATGGAGGTTGTGAGCGGGGAGGGCGGAGGGATGTAGGACGTACGCTCTGCGGGAGCGAGGGGTGATGGCTCGCCACGGATCGAGGGCTCTCTTAGTAAGGACTCTTGAGCACCATTTCCTTAGTAAGACTTCTGTGTCAAGGTTCTTTTATTAAGGACTTTTGAGTCAGAGTTCCGTAGGCAGTTTTTTTTTGCGGCTGTTGTTTTTTTGGGGGGGGGGGGTCCTCTTAGTAAGAACTTTTGAGTAATACACCCCTGGTAAGGGTTCATTATTCGGGTTCTTTGAGTAAGGACTCTTGGGCCATATTCCCGAAATATGGCTTCTGTTTTGAGGTTTTCTGGGTAAGGACTCTTGAGTAATAGGTGCTTAGTGAGGAATCTTCATCCAGGTTCTCTTAGACAGGACTCTTGAGTATGACTCCAAGAGACAGGATTGTTCAAAAGTGTGTTCGGAGTAGGACTTAGAAAGGCTTCTTGGTAAGGACTCTCGAGTAAGGACTCTTGAGTAGGGTTCTTGAATAATATTTCCGTAGTATGGTTTCTTCATCAACGCGTTTTTAGTAAGGACTCTTCAGCAAGAGTCCTCTAGTAACGTTTCTCCATTCAGGCTCTCTTAGTAATAGTTGCTGAGTAAGACTCCCATCGCAAGGATTCTTGAGTAGTGTTCTCCTGGAAGGACTCTTGAGTAATAGTCCCGCAGCAAGGCTTCTTTATTAAGATTCTCGCAGGAAGAGTCCCGTAGTAAGAACTCTTCGTTTTGGTGCTCTCCGTAAGGACTGTTGAGCCAGATGCCCGCAGCAGGGATTCTGCAGTAAGGTTCTCTTAGTCAGGACTCTTGCGTCATATTCCCGTAGTGAAATTTTTAAGTAAGGCACTCCTTGTAAGGACTTTTGAGTAATTGTCCCGTAGTACGGCTTCCTCAGTCAGGTGCTTTTAGTAGGAAGTCTTGAGTAATAGTCACGTAGCCAGGAATCTTCATTCAGGTTCTCTTGGTATGTATTCGTGAATAATACCCATAATTCGAATTCCTTTAGTAAACTTCTCTTAGTGAGAACTCTTGAGCAATTTTCCCGCAGTAGAGGTTTTTTTTTAAGGTGCTCTTGGTAAGGACCCTCCAGTACGAATCCCGTAGTCAATATTCTTCATTCAGGTTCTTTTAGGAAGAAGTTTTGACTGAGACTCCCATCGTAATAATTCCTATTGGGTTTTCGGAGTAAAAGCCTTTGAGTGAGACTCCCATAGCAAGGATTCTTGATTCAGGTTCTCTGAGTAAGAACTTTTGAGTGAGACTCCCATATTAAGGATCATGTATTAGGGCTCTTTAGATCAAGACTCTCGAGTATTATTCCAGTAGTAGGATTTCTTCATTCAGGTTCTCTTAGTAAGGAGTCTTGAGGAATAGTCCCTTAGTAAGAATTCTTGGTTAAGGTCTCGTAGTCAAGATTATGTAGCAAGGATTTTCATAACATAGGATTCTTAACTACACTACTTTTGGCAGATTTATTGAATAATAAGGTTCCTTAGAAGGGATTCATTCTGGTTTCCGTAGATATCGAGCTTGCGTGAGGACGACATGGCTTGGGAAGTTTCGGTTGTTGCAGTCGCTTGAGCCTCCTCGATGGGATCTGGCAATCGAATCCATTTACACTGGAGGCCGGCCCGGAAGCCGGTGCCATGCGATGCGGTGCTCCCCCCCCTTCCCCAGAGGGGGCGTCAGAAACCCGGCGTACTTCCCGTGGGGAGCGACGGGGAAGCTCGCCCCATTGGAAGGTGCTTAGAAAGCCGGCGTTCCCTTGATGTTGTTTGTGACGACGGTGATGATGGTGATGCCGATGATGACGGCGATGATGTTGTTGATGGTGATGATGATGTTGATGATGACGCGGTTGTTGCTGATGGTGGTGATGACGATGATCGTGGTGATGATGCTGATGATGCTGCTGCTGCTTTTTGTGATGATGGTGATGATGATGATAATCATGACGATGCAGATGATGATGATGATGCTGATGATGATTTCGACGATGTTGACGATGCTGCTGATGATGCTGATGGTGATGCTGATGATGCTGGTGCTGCTTCTGCTGCTGCTCATGCGGATGATGATGATGATGGTGCGGATGACGCTGCTGCTTATGCTGCTGCTGTTGTTTTTTCTGATGATGATGATGAGGGACGCAGGTATGCTGATGATGATGCTGATGACGATGCTGATGACGATGATGATGCTGATGATGATGCTGCTGATGATGATGGTGAAGGTGGTGAACGCCATTGTTCTGACAGTGGTGGTGATGTGGGTGTTGCTGATGCATCTTACCATGCTGATGATGCTGGTATTGATGCTGCTCATGATGATGCTGATGATAATGAT